AGAATTCCCTGACCTTCCTGACTAGGTCCCACCTCCTCCCTCAGTTCTATGCCTGCACATCAGCTCTTGGATCACCAAAGACCTCCCCCATCAGTACTTATGATGGCTGGAATTGTACATTTATTCACATGATTATTTGATTAGTATCCGTCTCACCTACTAGCCTGTAAGCTTCATCAGGGCAGGGACATTGTTAAGTTAACTACTGTATTCTTATCACCTAGCAGAGGACCTAGCACAACTAAGTGCTTAAGAAATATTTGTCCAATGAATGACAGAGGTAACTGGTCCATGCATATCAGCATATGCATACCATAGGGGCCAAAGAATTCCAAACATGCTCTGATTTCAAGTGAGAAGGAGAAAGAATCGTTAACAGACCAGTTCACTTAATCAGAGATAGTAATGAAAAATGAAAACTAACCACAATCATGAAATTAAATAATGATAAATTAATCACAACATATTGAAACCTTTACTTATAAAAACTGGCCTTTTGTGTTTAGAAATACAAAGACTAACTTCCATGCCCAAAAGGCAGGAGAAAACTATAACACAATATACATTTGGAATGAAGAATACAATTGCTTGATTTGTTCAGTATTACCAGTAGTCAATTTTCCAAAATGATTTCTTAAAGATCATGCAATGGAAGCACTTTTTATATAAGACAACCTACGCTATATCAAATTATTCTAATTTCTTTACACTAAGAACAAACAATTCCAGGATATCTTTTTAAGGATACATTTCCACCTCCAGGGGTCATTACCATTTAAACAAGAAAGGATAGAAGAATCTAGTGTACTGTAACTGAGCTACTTAACATTTATTCCAATGTGAGACACACAGATTTAATGTGGATTACCTGACCACACTCCCTGACATGTTTAGCAGAAAATACTTGTAAATATTTTCCTTAAATAGCTAGCAAACCCCACAAAAACTAGAGAGCAAAAAGGGATCTAACGGCCCACTTGCTAAGATTACTGAATGACTGATAGCTTCCAAAGTTTACCACAGCAGTCAAAATCAATTAATCATTCATTGTAACTGGAGCAGAACATAATTAATTATGTTAGCTTGACTGGTTCAAGTTTAATTCCACTAAAAATAATCATTATAAAAAATCATTTTGAATATAAGTCATTATCATGAATTACTGCTAAAAACAATAATGAATAAGCTTCTATATGAATTTGATTCACATTTAAAACATTCATGGAAAATTTCAAATGTAAACACAGGTAGAGAAAATAGTATAATGAATCTCCAAGAACCCATCAGCCAGCTTCAACAATTATCAACTCACATACAATCTTGTTTCAACCATATTCCCACACATAAGCCAACTCCAACTCAATTATTTTTAAGCAAATCTTAGACATCATTATAATTTTATTTTTAAGTACTTCAATTGCATCTTTAAAAGATAAGGGTTCCTTTTAAAAATGTAACCACAATACCACTATCCCACCTAAAAATAATTGTAAGTCTTTAATATCATCAAATACACAGCCAATTATATTTCCCCAATAGTCTTTTTTTTTTCTTTTCAAGTTTATTCAAATCAGGATCCGAATATGACAATAAATTGTCTTGGTAGATATGTTTCTCATCTCTCTTAATCCATCTTTTTCTTTTTTCCTCACATTTTAGTTATCGAAGAAACAGGGTCATTTGTCCTATAGTTTTCCACAGTCTAGTTTAGTTGATTAAATCCCTTGTGGTATCATTTGTTCCTCTGGCCTCTGTATTTCTAGCAAAATGGTAGTTAGATCTGAAGGCTTGGTCAGGATCTGTTTTGACTTTTGGCAGAACTGCTTCACAGGTGGCATATGTACTTTCTAAATTAGGAGGCACAAAATCTGATTGCTATCTTTTTGTGAGGTTAGTGGTCAATGTTGATTATTGTCTAGATCCATTAATCACTGGGAGATAAATTGGTGACATCCTAATTTTTTCATTTCTCTTTAATTTAGCTGGAATGTCTTTAAAAGCATATTCAAAGGTAACTATGATTTTGCATACAATATTAACTCATAGAGTTAAACATAATAAGAGATGAGTTTCAATCTCTTACAGATATTATCTTTACTGATGATAAAATTATCTCACCTTTGGCCAGTGGGAATTACAAGGTATCTCCTGAATCTTTTTGACAGATCTCTGGTACGAGAGAGTGTTTTCTAGGCTCACCTTGTGCATTTCTTTCCCTACACTTGGAATTAAGTCATTTATCCAAGGAAGTCTGGGTCCTTTGAAGAAAATAGTATTTAGAGACCATAATCAGGGTGCTAAATTTTTCATCTGAATTATGTCCAAAGCTAATAAAGTCAATTAAGCAGGGGTCTTCTACTATTGGTTTCATGTAGCTGCAAATGTGGATTTTTAAGCAGGGGACTCAGATTTTTTAAAAAATTATTCTTATATACTAATGGTGAGAGTATATCATGTTATGTCTATTTGAAACATCGTAATTTTTATCAATGACCTTTAAAAAACCTTTAACCCAACACTTTTAGGACTTTATTTTATTATCAGGCTTAGGACTTTCCTTGCAGGATTGTTTAAAATAATAAGCAATCTGGAACCTAAACGTCCAAACAATGGGGAATTGGTTAATTTTTAAAATGTACTATGCATTCATAGAATAAAATACTTACAGTCATTAAAATGATGTAGATACAATATCAATGTATTGTTAAATAACAAAGGCGGGTGTTATGCTTTTAGTCATATACCAGAGAAAAGTCTTGATGGCTATGTCCCCAAATCTTAACAGTGCAAACTAGGGGCTGGCTGGCTAGCTCAGCTGATTAGAGTGTGATGCTGATAATACCAAGGTCCAGGGTTTAACCCTGTACTGGCCAGCCGCCACCAAAAAAAAAAAAAAAATTAACAGTACAAACTAGACCATTCTGTTTCCACTGCTCATTTAAGATCTGACCTCCCTGGGCCTGCCAAGTCAGATACTACTCCTCCATCTGCTTCCCAAATTTCTAAAATTCTGTTCTCTTTATCTTCTCTTCAATTCACCTTATCTTTGTTGGATTATCCCAAATCCCCGTCATTTTAGTGGGTATTTCAGGAAAGAGCAGAAGTTAATATTTTGCTTAATCCTCCATTTTTACCTAGCATCCTGTTGCTTTTTATAGAAGAGAACAGACACTCTGAAGAGATTACCAATTATAAAACACTTGAACTTCTACTGAAAATAGTGTCCATATGTATATATCTAAGACACACAAACAATATAGTGATATAGAACACAGGGACTCAACTTGCATCTTAATAATATAAAGAGTTGGATACAGAAACAACAATGGAAAAACTAAACTGGTAACAAATGGGAAAAGTTAATTAAATGGAAGTTTTTTGTTTCTTTTTTTGGGGGGAGGTTGGCTGGTACAGGGATCTAACCCTGAACCTTGGTGTTACTACCACACTCTAACCAACTGAGCTAACTGGCCAGCCCAATGGAAGTTGTTTTTAATCAAGAACATGAAATGAGATGCTGCAACTGAAGCTGCACTCTATGGGGGAAAACTAATCATCTACTTAGTTTCTCAGAACTCAAAAATCGTTTCTGGGAAACTAAAATTTCTTACATCTTTAGTGACTTTTCTAAAGATGAAATGTCCCTGGTGGCTGCTTTAAAACTACATGTAGCTTGCTACCTAGTTTTGGGAGATGTTGACCCATTAAATATGGATAATGAATGTCTCCTCTTGTACCTAAGTCCAGGTTTGTAATGCATGTACCACAAAGATAATTGAAAAAGTTCATGGAAAAATAGAATTAAAAGACATATGAATCTTTCCATGAACTTTTTGAAGTACCCTCATATACTGATACTCTGATACCTTCAATTAAAAATACTTAATTAAAGGACTGCTTAAGCACAAGCACCCACAATTTCACTATTGCCAAGGACATCAGTCCCATCTTTGCAGAAAAAATAATCATTAGGTCATAAATGTATAGACAGAAAGTGACAAGGGATTAAGAGTTGAATAGGTTTGCTCAGTTTGGACAAATCTTCAGTTTTCAATAGTCTGTGAATATAACATGAAGTACCCAAATTACAAGGTGTTGAGGATACCTCAGAATACAAGACTGATCAGACAAAGCTGTCTTTTCCTTCATTAAGTCCTTCCCCAAACTGCACAATATTACCTGACATTATGGGGAACACTAAGTTCAGAAACTGTAATAATTTATTTTATTGCTGATTTTGTTTGAGTTGGTGCCTGAATTTATGAAACTGTATTTTTTTAAAAAAAGGAAAGGAATATTCTAAACAAAATTTAAGCATTTAATTACAAGTTAAAATAACATATTTGTAATTATCTGAATTAATTAATATTGACAGTTTCATTAACTAAACATAATATACATTTTGAGGGTTCTAAATTAACAAATTAACTCAAAGTATTGCATAATGCTCATTTAACAAATATTACTTATTTATAGCTAGTCTTGGTTAAAATAAGAATTTGGGGCCGATTACTCCATACAGGGCACGGTTCTGGGCTTAAAATTCCTTTCCTAGGTAACACTGAAATATCAGTTCTCTACCTATTTGCTATGAATTTGACAAAACAGAAAAATGTTGGCTTACGATTTTAAAATATACTTATCATTAAACTAGACTTTTAAAATAAATGAGGTAGGTAGCATTCAAAACTTTGAAAAATACATATAAAGACCACAATTTTCCAAAACGACTCAGCTCTTTCACCAAGACAAGCATTGAATATTGATTAGAAACAGAGTAAAGCAGTTGAGATTAGTTGAGTGTTCTAAAAATGTTCATTGTGTAGATATCTAATTGGGAATTTTCTACATGGACCTCAAACTAGGAATAAATATATCTGCATCTGTGTGGGAAGAACAATTATCTTTCTGCTCAACAATCTTATTTAGTAAGAAAAAGTTCCCTTGTGGGAAGCTTCTTTTGATTGTACTCAGAGTTCAAAGAGTACAGAACCTTCAAGTTGATTTCATCAAGTCTATTTATTAATGCATTTCAAGTTTCAAAAAACCTTACATCTTTGCACAATACTTTATTTTTTGCAATTTTTAGTAAAAATTTCCAAAGTGAACAAAAAAGATACTGTATAAAACACAGTGGACATTAAACTGACAGTAGTATTAGATCTCATTTGTCTTGATCCTTTTGTTTTACCACATCTTGATTTGCAGTGGAAAGAGTTCAGTGCACATATCTCTTCAGAAAACATTTAACTTAGACTCAAAGTAAAATAGGGCAGTGTGGATCTGCCAAAACCCTACCACAGGATAACATTACAAGCAAAAAATTTACATGTTCCAAAGTCTACCACACTCAAGAAGTTACTAAGAACTCTTGCAGAATAAAAGTCACCATTTTAGAAATGCAAACCCACTTCCAACCTTTGCACAGTCCAAAAAAGAAGCATTTAAATGATTTAAAAGCAATTACGTATATACCTACCTACTTGTTTTTTTAGAATTATTTATAGTCTATCTGGTGTTTCATGTACAAAATTTGTCTCTAAATCATGTACAAAAAGCTGTATTTTGAAAAAAGTCACCACTTACTGTACAAGTTTACAAGGAAGAAATCCCATTATTTTCTCTAGCATTTTTGGCCTTGCTGGCTTGCGTCACATTATGAGAATGATTGTGTAAACCTTATACTCTTAAGAAAGAAGGAAAAAAAGCCAAAACACAAAAATCTTGTTAGCCTTCCCGAAATTTGCCTCCTATGTGAAGTCAGGAAAATCACAGCTGTTTACTTCTAATTTAAGTGATGTAGTTGGAAAACAGAAGCAATAAATATGTCACAAGCTTAATTTTTGTTTTGTAATGCCCCCTTTCATTTCCTGCATAGCAATAAGCCTATTAATACACTAAATGCTTTTGCTTTTGCTTCCTCTAAAATGCCAATTATTTACATTTGTGTAAAAAATAAATTTGGAATGGGACATTGTGCTGTTTCACCTTCATTATTGTTAAAATAATTTAGGAAAAAAATTGTTAGAAGGCCTATCTACAATTTCAACTACTAGATGAGCAAATTACTCATCTTTAGTGGTTACCAATGATCAGTGATGATATGCTGAAAAAACTGTTCAAATATTTTGATTAGACACAGCTTTTCTTTTCCATATCAGAAAAAAAAACATAATTAGCATACCTTAGATATATTGAAAACACAAATAAGTTGGCTACAAATAAAAAGAATTTCACTGACATAATTTCTACCAAAGCATGAATAAAATTTCACCTACCAATTCAAAAATGGAATTGAATTAGAAAGTTTAAAATATGTAAGCAGAAATCAGACATTTACATAAAGAAGTAACTCTGAAGCAGTATGCTGCTTATGTCCAGTTTGCACAACACTTAACTGTGTTCTTCAGCATAATCACTCATGCTCATAGCAGCCATTTGATAAAGAAAAAATGAATATCAGAACCAAATCCATCATAAGAAAAAGGTAAAGTGATTCTCATTTCAAAACTGCCTGCATAAAGCATTACATAATCTTGGACCACTGAATACCACCATTCTCTGTTATCCTGAGTATGTCAATTAAACAGTAATTTTCATTTAGAGCGGAAAAATTTTATAATACAAAGAAACATCCATATTGCAATTTCTGTTTACAATTGCACAGAGAAGTACAGTGTACGTAAGAAATACATGTCTGCATATAACAAGGTATGTACATTGGCAAGTGATGTCTCCAATGTTGAGGTGGTCAAGCCTCCTAGCCTTGATTGGCAGTTGAAAAATATATATATATTTCAATTTGTGATAAAAGTTTATCGAGAGCCAAGTTTGCCTGCAAGTGAAGAAAAATGCAGCAACGAAGAACAGGGAACACGGGGCACACAATAATATTCTAAGACTTTGTGCCATTAGGTTAAAAATATCTGTTCGTAAGAAAACTGGGTTCCTTTTCCACCCCCCCATCCCCCACTGGAATTTTCAGGCTTTAAAATTTAAGTAATTCCACCTGGTCTGAGGACATGATCTCTTGCCATTTTATCTTCAACTGTTATTTGTAAGGGTTTAGTTTGGAGATGACTTAATAGGTTTCTCTTTGGAGTGTTTTCCCATTGTAGGCACTAGGAAGAACCAAGGCAAAAGCTGCAGTTAACGTCTCATGTGTCCCATTTGATAACTCTCCCGGGGCCTCTGACGCTGGGGTTGCTGAATGGGCTGTGGAGGTCTCCTCCTCTTTAAAGTGCCTGTGAGTCAAAAACAAAAGCAAAACAGATTTACTATGAGCTTTTTAATCTTTAAATACAAAACTGCTGTTTCAACAAGAAAGGTTCTAGATTAGTGCTGTCCAAAAGAAATAGAATATGAGCCACATATTAATTTTAAATTTTATGGTAGTCATAATAAAAAAAAGTAACAAAGAAACAGGTGAAATAATTTTAAAAATATTTTTACTTCATTTAACCCAATTTAGACCAAATGTCATTTCAATGTATAATCAACATAAAAAATTATGAATGAAATATTTCATTTTTTATACTAAGTCTTCAAAGTCTGGTACATACTTTATACTAAATAGCACATCTCAATTGAGACTAACTACATTTTAAGTACTCAATAACCACAAGTATTAAACAGATTTATCTAGATTAATATCATAGATTCTAAGGACAGAATCCATGATGAGGAAATTACTAAGTGTCTTTGAGCAAATGACTTAACCTCTCTGAAACGCAGATGTCTAGTCTGTAAAACGTGGATGATAAATAACTAATCCATATAGTCTGTTCTGAATATTACATGATAATTCATGTGAAAGTGCTTAGCACTTTTTGTGAGGGTTCAATAAATGACAGCTAGTTATTTAAAAGTTTTTAGAGGTGCTACTTACTTAAAATGAAATCAATATGCAAGTCAAATAATTGTTTCATTACCGTAATCAGTAATAGTATCTAGAAAGAGTCAAGTGGCCCCTGGAAATCCCTTAAAAATTAACATAAGTTCTGGAGTGCTAACATTGTGAAATTGGGAAAAGCAAAAATAATCAAAATTAAATTTTCTCTGATTCCCACTGTAGCAGATTGAATGCCCCCACAAACTCATTGGAGCCTGAATTGTGTCCCCCAAGTTTTATGTATTAGTAACTTGGCCCCCACTGTGACTGTAAGAGGATGGGAGATCCTATTATGGTAACCAAAAGGTGGTGCCTTGAAGAGGTGATTAGATTGTAGGACCATGCCACAGGGGATGGATTAATAATGGTGGTCAGGGGTGTGGTTCTCAGGGCTTTAAAAGGACAATGCATGAAGAACTATCTTGCTCTCTCTGTTCCACCATTTCACAATGTGATACTCTGTATCACTGATATCACCAAGACCTTCACCAGATGTGTTCCCTGGACTTTGGATGTCCCAGCCTCTGGAACTGTAAGCAATAAATTTCTTTTTCTTACAAATTACCCAATGCCATGTATTTTGTTATAAGCAATAGAAAATGACTAATACACCCACTAAGATACTATCCTAGCACAACTACTGGCTCTCTTGAACTAAGACAGGTAAATGCAGTGAAACAACTGAGGGAAGATACAGAAAATTATAAGAAAGTCCTAGTTTTGAACTATTTGTGTAGGGTAGTAGACATGGCCAGAGGCATGTCTCCTGTGGGAGACAGGAGAGACAACTGGTGTTAGTCAGCTCTTACTCTCCCCTGCTAATGCCTTGGGGCAATGTCGTCACCACAATCATGACCCTCATGATGACCCCCCCACCCCTGCATCAGTAGTAAACAGACATCCAGCGGGCAGCATAAAAGGCATAAAAGCCACAAATACCTTGTGGGGAGGGGGGTGAGGGGATAAACAGATGGGTGCTAATATATCTGGAGAAGTTGATTCCTACTCTTTTCCTTCTCCAAATGCCCAGAGCTAATCTAAAGAGGATCTCTTCCTAATGGTGTGTCTCTCTGAAAGGTAAAAGGTGGAGACCAGATCTCAGGAGTTGTTTTCAGATATAGAACCTCTACCCTAAGCCTCTCCCACAGATTGGGACTTGTATCTCCATATGAACATCACCCCTGGAGAAAACTAGCTTATTCACATGCCAGAAAATATTTCCAGAGCACAAACATTAAAAACAATAACAGAAGCATAACTATTAGAATAGAAAGATCAATAATTCTGAAGTAGCTTAACTACCATAATAAAAACAAGAGGAAATATCAGAATATAAAGCAAACATAAGAAAATAAGTACCAAGCAAAAGTCTAAAGTTTTAGTTCTAAATGTTTTTAGGCACACAGGATAGATTAGCTTTAAATTGGCAGTCATTAGCCAGACTGGATAAAAAGCACACTTAAACATCAACTAAATCATTAACCCAGTAATCCCATTCTCAAGAAGAAAGGACTATAAAATTAGTTACTAAAGATTTATTTACAATTCAATTCTACTTGCTAAGTAGTTCTGAGTTATATAAACATATACCTTGCTTGAATATTCTTACCTGGAAGTGGTTTAGGAGGAGGCAACTTTGGATTACTACTTGGAGTATGAACACTGCATATCTTAATAAATCCAGCCATTAACATGATCAGGGCAATTCCCATAAGTAATACTGCCCACCAATGAGCCTAGAAATAAACAAATTTTTCCAATGAAAAAAATGTAAAATATTTTAGAATATTCTGTATAAAATATAGAATAGAACACATTACATTTTAGTTTTTAAAGAATATTTGTTGTTGGGCCGGCCCCGTGGTGCACTCGGGAGAGTGCGGCGCTGGGAGCGCAGCGACGCTCCCACCGCGGGTTTGGATCCTATATAGGACTGGCTGGTGCGCTCACAGCGCGGTGTGGGCGACACCACACCAAGGGTTGCAATCCCCTTACCGGTCACGAAAAAGACAAAAAAAAAAGAATATTTGTTGTTTGGAGTTGTGTGTGTGTGTGTGTGTGTGTGTGTGTGTGTGTGTGTGTGTGTGTGTGTGTGTGCATATATATGTATATATATATGCACATATATATTAATTTCCTCAAAAAGAATTCTTTAAGGAAAAAATAGAAATCATAATTTTACTTTCTAGAGGAAACCAATTTTATTTTCCTTTCAGTCTCTTTTCTATATATAATATGTTTGTTATACACACATATAAACACACATACAAAACTGGGGTCATCTTGCATATAATTTATATTATTATTTTCCCATGTTATTAAATATTTTCTAGTTTAAATATTTCCTTTTTTTTTTTTTTTGCCTATTACTCTTAGATTACGTTTTGTTTGCTTTTTTACTTTCCATGGCTTGGAAGGTATATAATTTAAATTCTGCTAGTGGACAGATTTTAAAAATACTCTTTAACTTACATTGTTTTCTAATTATCAAAGTTAAGACTGAAATTCTATTTTGAGACCCCCCCCCTTAACCTCTTTCTCTATTTCTTTTGGAATTTTTGATCCAGACTACTATTATGAAATTATTTTTAGATATCTTAGTTTTCATTATATTATATACATATATAATTTATATGATTATATATATATAATATCTCTCTTAAATCATTCATTTATAGGTCAACTGTCTTTTTTAATATGAAAAGTGAAAGGATATACACACCATAGCAGCAAAGCTTACCCAGTCTCAGAAGAAACCAAAAACTTCACTTCTAATTCAAACTATATTAAACAAATCAATTAGCCAAACAAGAAAACCTTCAAAAATTATTGGTATATTGGGCTGGCCAGTTGGCTCAGTTGGTTAGAACATGGTGCTATAACACCAAAGTCAAGGGTTCAGATCCCCATACCAGCCAGCCACCAAAAAAAAAAAGAATTATTGGTATAATCTTAATTATAGAAAATTACTCTTGCCATTCTTAAGAAATTCAAAGTCTATTTTGCAATTCCAAATATTCATACTTTAAGACAACATATATTAAACATACAAAATATTTACAACTTTAAAACTGAATCTTCACACTGGCTTAATACAGATTGTTACAATACATACATTGTCTTTTATTTCCAGCAAAACTCCCATTAAAGATTTTCCATGATCTGGGGTCTTATAACAAACAGCCTACTATGTCTATACTGTTTACTTTTTCCAGCAGTGATGATGTAAGTAACAAATGCTAAAATAAAAATGCATGTTGTGGCAAAATATCTCAAGCCACTTTTTGTGTGTGTGTATGAAGACATTCCTATATTTTTTTTAAAAAATTTTTTTGTTTTATTTTGAAAGAATCTCAAACTTACAAAAAAGTTGTAAGTACAGTACAAAGAACTTTTTAAAATACGGAACCACCTGAGAGTAAGTTGCTAGCACCATGCTGTTAACCCTGAACATTTTAGCATTTAATTCCTATAACACAAGGGTGTTTTCCTACATAACTACAACACAATCATCAAAATCAGGAAACTATTGCTGATACACTACTATTATTTAATCCTCAGACCCCATTCAAACTTTGCAATTTGTCCCAATACCATGCAGTTCAGAACCATGTGCTGCATTTAGCTGCCGTATTTCTTTAGTCTCCTTCAATCTGGAAAAGTTCCAATCTTGTCTTAGCTTTTATGACCCTGACACACTTAAAGATTACAGGGCAGTTATTTTGTATGGGAATGTTCCTCAATGTGAGTTTCTCTGGTGTTTCTTTGTGATTAGATTCAGGTCATACAACTTTGGTAAGAATATCATCGAAGTGATGGCTGTGCTCTTCTCATTTTATCCTATCAGGTGACACAAGATTTTGATTTCATTACTGGGGATGTTAATTTGATCACTTGATTAAGGTGTTACTTGACGAACTTCACCATAATGATTCTCTTTTGCAGTCAATGAGTATTTTGTAGAGATGTAATTTGGAACTATGTAAATATGCTGTTCATCCAACTTTCAATTTATTCCTTCGTGGTTTCCTACTTTATAAAATGGGTTATAATCCATCACTATCACTATCACTTGCATTACACCTTACTTACAAGGCAAGTAAGTAATGCAAGTCAGTCTTATTGCTAAAGGATCTGACTTTTCAAGAGAAGCTACCAACCTGAATTTTTATGTGAAATCTATTTTTAAATGCTGGCAAACTCATTCAAAATTTCTAAAAAACAATGTGTAGACCATACAAAACATGTTGACTGGGCTAAATCTGGCTTGGAAAACACAAGTTTACAATCTATTTCAAAGCCATTTCTTGTATCCTACTGAGACTACCAGATTGTTTTCTAAAACTGTTTTTGTTTTGTCTTCTATAGAAAATAATTTTCAGAGCTCTGCTCTCCTTGTCAGTCTTCAGGATGATATTCCCTTTCCCTTATTATATAAGCTTTTCATGGACTCCTGTTGTTTTTTCAGTTTTTATTCATCCTCAAATAATAGACCTGCTATTTATCAAATGGCAGAGTATAAGGGCTGCCCTCAGTCGGTCAAAATGGTGCAGGACCATTTTGAGCAATGCAGGAAGTTTAGCATCCCTGCTCTCCATCCATCAAATACCAGTAGAGCCCCTTCAGTTACTTGGACAACTACTGTACATTTCCAAATACTCTCTGGGGCGGCTGTTTCACCTCTAATGTGATCTAATCCATGAATACAAAGGGTCAAGGGTCTTGCTCCTATTCTCAGGTTAATGGGTTAGTGTTTTTGCAGGAGATATATATCTGTTCCTAATGTTCATTATATTATCTAACACATTTCCTTTCTCCTAGTCCTCCTTGCTCAAAACCATCTTCCACACCACCATCAGTGGTAAGAATACCTAAAATATGGAACTGACCATATCACTCCCTTATGTAAAACCAACCCTTCTGCCAAAGCTTTCCACCAAAGGTCTCCAAGATAGACTATTAAGTGGGAGAGAGAAAAAAACAAAACTGGAGCACACTATTGTGTGCTTTATTAAGTGCAGCGAAGTACATACGATATAATTTCACTTTCTTTTTTTTAAGTACATATTCTTGCAGTGGTATAGACAATTTCTGAAAAATACAAAAGAAATTCATCCTGGGAAGATTGGGGGTCCAGGGTAAAAAGAAGGCCTATTTGGGCATGTATTACTTTGTCAATTTAAAAAAAGAATGAAACTTTTCAAAAGAAAAAAAGTATAAAAACTTTTTGCTTTGAAAAATTCATACTTCTATGACTTTTTCAGGTGCTCCCTTTCTCCATAAAATATCTCTGTACCCCTCTACTTCTGCTAGTCCTTAAGAACTTAGTTGTGGCATCACCTCCTTAAAGGTCTTCCCCAACAGCTTCCCCTATTTTTTGTGAAAACAGCATACAGACCTGAAAAAAATCTTTCTATGGGCCTGTCTTCTCTATCCCAAATTGGACTGTGAGCTCCTTGAACTTATATCCTATCATCTTAGTACCTAGCCCACAAAAAAACACCAAAAACAAAACCAAAAACCTGTTGGACTAGTCATTACAGGTGAATCATTATTCCAAATACTGACCTCAAAGCATTTTTTTTTTTTTTTTTTTTTTTTTTTTTCCGT